ACAATGCTTGCCCTCCTCTAAATCTGGTCCTCACAACAACAGCCCTGTAAGGTAGGCTGGGCGGAAAGTCTGTGACTGGCCCAAAGTCACCCCTGGACCTCCAGACCTCCAAGCCCAGCCCAGCACCCTCACTGCTGTGCCAGTCCTGGCTCTCGGGTTCCCCACAGGTCCTGTGCTGACTGTACTGCTGATCGTGCTTGACGTGGTGTGTAGGGGGTGGGGTGTTTTAAAACCCAACAGTCCAGGATTCTGCAGCAGGTATAAATGTGAAGGCTACAGAGTTCACTCGGCATATGTTTATTTCCTCCAGTGTGACTAGGGCAGGGGTCCTTAAACGTTTTCAATAGGGGGGCAGTTGAAAGGTGCTGGCGATGGGCGCAGGCTGCCAAGGCGGTGCGAGTGGGGGGGGCGCAGACTGGGACGGGATGGGGGGGCATGCGCGTGGTGAAGCAGGGGCAGCCACACACAGAGATCCTTTTCTCCGAAGGTCCAAAACAATCTCCTTGTGAGCGAGCCCCTGCATGGCAACACCGGCTTGCTCACAAGGAGATCCTTTTCTCTGAGTGAGTCCAAAACAGTCTCCGCACGAGCAAGCTGCTGCCTTGGCACATGCGTGTGTGCACCAAGTCCAAAACCTCTGGTGGGCCGCAGTTTGAGGACCCATGGTCTAGAGCAGGGGTCTCACACTCACGGTCCGTGGGCCAACTGCAGCCCATGGGACGATATTTTGTGGCCCCCACTTGATATCAAAGTTTAGTGATAGTGCGGCCTGTGCGTTTTTCTCACACGCACCTGCGTGAGTCGTTACCCTGGGCGCAATGTTCCCTCTAAGCTGCGCGCCAGGACGGGCTGGGCACGGGGAGGGGCCCTGCGGCCTTCAAAGCGCCGGCGGCGCCCGGGCCGGCCTCTGGGAGCGACGCGGGGTGAGCAGCCCCCCACCACCGCTTGATGTGGCCCAGCCTCACCCAGACTCTACTTCCAGCGGCCCCCAGGTAAGGTGAGTTTGAGACCCCTGGTCTAGAGGAACACAGACACCGAAGTCCTGATTCCCACATTGCCCAGGTATTGGATTCGCCCAAACACTCTCAAGCATATGTAAAGGAGCAGTAAGTCACTGTGCACATGAATTCTAAAAAGGAGAAAGTCCCACTTTCTACATTGCCAAGTTATCAGCCTTATTAAAATGCTTTCAGACATAACTAAAGAACAATAAGGACTAGAAACTTGCAGGGAGGGTTAGGGGTGCTTAAGAGGAAGAAGGTCCTGCTCTGTGCATTACCAAATTATCTGGTTCACCCAATGGCTTTCATGCACGTCTATATGACAATTACAGTTAGGAACTTGGTTGGACATTTAAAAGCAAGGAACTTCTGATTTCCAGGATGCTGCATCCTGGACTGGCAGTCTTTGTTTGTCCTTGCACGGGACCGGAGCAGCCCACAGCTCTCCACTGCAGAGCCTCACATGCTGCACCACAGGGGTGCAAACCTCTCTTGGCTCCAGAGGAGTCTGGCTGGGGGTCTGTTCTAGTGGCGGGTGGGACGGGAAGCATAAGGGACATGGCAGGAAGCAACAGGGGAAGGCCTGACTTCCAAAAGAATACCAACCTATTTTAATGCTCCTGCTGCAGGCGAGTAACCTTATCCACGCAAAGCGGGGTAATCTCTAGATAATGGGGGCTTGGGGAAAGGGAGCCTGGTCTTTGGGGCCCCTGGAAAGCCAGACTGAGAAGCCCAAGTTGCCAGGTTTCCCACAGGCCGAGGTCGCCCACCCCCAGTCTAGGGCTGGAAATAGGATGAAAAAGTGAAACAAACCTCCCCGAAAGCCAGTCGACATTTGGCAAAACAAGGACGAAGCCACCAGCTCCTGAAAAAGCGATTCTTCCCTCTTGCCTCTTGGCATAAATTGCATTCTCCATGCAGAGCCCATTTGTCCAAGCCAGGACACGCCGGGGAGCCCGAGAAAGGGCTGTGGGAGACTGAGGAAGCAGGAGAGCTTCGAGTAGGGCTCGAAACAATTGTTGTATGGCATTTATACCCCGGCTTCCTTCCTCTTGCAAGGTGCCCCAGGTGTTTTACAAGGCTCTCCTCTTCACAACAATAACCCTGCAAGGCAGGCTGGGCTGAAAGAGAGGGCCTCACCTGGAGCCACCCCATAAGCTCCATGGCTGAGTGGGGCTAGGACATGGATTTCCCAAGCCCCCCTCTGGCACTCTTGTCACAGAGCCATGCTGGCTGAGCCATGCTGCAGCATCACAGGGAAAAGGCAGAACAAGTCCTGCTTAAAATCCTTTTTGAAAATTGGCTCTTCTACCCTGATGCTTTAAGGCAGCCTTTCCCAATCTGAGGCTTTCCCATTCTGAGCTGCAGTCCAAGCCATCAAAAAAGGCTGCATTAGAGAGCCTGAAAGGGGACAGGTCCCAGTCCCCATTCAAGCTGGCTGCTTGCGAGATGACTTTGGGCCATCTGGACTACCTCACAGGAAACAGGGAGCTCCTGCCCTCGTAACCATACGTGCTGCCCAGGGCTCGAGCAGAACAGACATTCAGGAAGTGCTACATTTTGGTTTGCTTCTAGAGGTATCCAATTGAGCCCCAAATCAGGGGCAGTTTCTGGGTGCACAAATGCCCAGAAACTGCCAGGGAAAGGGGGGTTGGCTGGGAAGGGGCACAGCAGCCTGGGGAACCCCGGCATGCCAAGCTAAGATCCCTGGGGAGACAGATATGGCTCCCTGACCTGGTGTTCTGCACCTCTGCTGTAAAACATGACATGGCATGGCTCCTCCTTCCATCTCCCCCACTCTGGCTTCAGGGAGTCCCCAGTTTACTATGGTTTGCCATTACATCCAAACCAGAACAAACCATGGTTTGATTAACATTTTGGCCAGACCAGCACACCTGGGGTTTTTGATCCTGGCTTTTCTGGGAAATCCACTATTAAAATCTACCACAGCAGCTGGATCAGATGCAACAACAAAATCCAGTCTGTTGAATGTCAAAGCAGAAAGATCCAATTTCTTTCTCGCTGCCAAGGTGGCAGAGGAGAGGGAACATTTCCTATTATCACCAAACTACGTATTATGAGCCTGGAAGGGTTGTTTTGGGCCCCTCATTACAGGAAGGATATAGCCAGGTTAGAGTCAGTGCAGCGCAGGGCCACAAGGTTGGTGGCCAGTTTGCAGGGGATGCCGTATGAGGCGAGACAGAGGGAACTGCGTCTCTTCAGCCTGGAAAAGAGGACACTTAGAGGGGATATGTTGGCGACATACAGGGATGTGAGAGGGTGTCACACAGAGGGGGGCAGAGACCTGTTCTCCTCTGCAGAGGAAGGCAGGACGCGCTGCCAGGGAGCCAAGGTTCAACTTGAATGCCAGGAAGCACTTCCTGGCAGTCAGGACCCCGAGGGTGTGGAATGGGCTTCCACAAGAGGTCGTTGAGGCCCCATCGGTGCGGGTGTTCAAGAATAGGCTGGACGTGCACATGGTGGGCATATCATGAGTGGAGCCGGCTGGAGCCGGGGGTCAGACTAGATGGCCCAGGAGCCCCTTTTGACTCGCACTGTTATGTTTCTATGTCTCCTCAAAATGCCTGCTCAGACCAGAAGTTCATTTCGGGAGTTGCTTCCCAAGGTGCCCCACTGAACAAGGTGAGATGAGTGGCTATTAAGCACAGGGCCCCACAGTTGTGAAACACCCTCTCCAGGGAGGCTTTCTTAAGACCACTACTGTGATTTTCCGGCATCAGAAGAGCATTTTACAAAATAAATAAATCCCAGGCCTTGTGCATTTTTGATTCTTGAATGTTTGATGAGGAAGAGAATTTCTGTCTGGCTTACTTGTCGGATCCTGCTGCATTGTTTCTTTGATCTCAAACTGTCATTGTGACATGACCAGAAGTGGCCCAGAAAATGTGGGCAATCAGGTGGCGTTATAAGCAGTGCCCCTGCACCCCAAATATCTAACCAAGGAAGCCTGAAGTGTGTTTGGAAGAGAGCGATTTAGAAATCTCTGAGTACCAAACAGTCTTGTGTCCTCCACTCCCATTATCCATGGCAAATGGAGCCTGCTGGGTGAGACTGATGGGAGCTGTAGTGCCACACTTCTAGATAGCACCAGACTGCAGAAGACAAGTCTAAGATTAATACAGCACTGGATGAGAAACAAGGCACTGCCCCAGCCCTCAGCCCTCGCTCGCTCTCTCGCACAGAAATTCTGTGATGAAGTGGGGCTCCTGTGGCCAAAGCAAGAGTCCAGGCACTGTCCAGAAACACAGGAGCCCAATACTTTTGCTGGGACGGGGCAAAACCCAAGAAGTGTTATCATCAGGAATGGCAGGCAGAACAGAGTGGGCCAAACCATCGAGCTCACGACCCGCAAGCTGAGACCGACCTTCCAACCTGGAGTCCTCCAGATCTTTTGGCCACCAGGAGATATGCGAAGCATCCAGAGGCAGGCAGCTTGGGGTGGGACGGTCTAAGACTCCCCAGCTGGCAGCATTTCTGGCTGCTCAGCACAGGAGTCTCCTTCTTTCTTTGGCACAAGCAATCCCACTTGCAGGCGTGGTGAAGGCTCAGCTTTAAAGGAGTAGATAAATGAAGTAAATTCATGCTGTCCAAGCCAGTGCTGACATGCAGAAGGGACAAGATATGCTCACAGCCGTTCCAGAGTTGCACGAGAACCAGCAGGCACAAACTACACTGAAGCAGATGATAGCCAAATGTTGGGAGAAACTTCCTTCCAGGAATGTCTGGTGGTGGAACCAATTTTCCTAGGGAAGTGGCAGGTACGCCTTCACGAGATTTGAGCAAGGCAGGAATGCTGCCATTACAGTATGCTTGTGTCGCATTGGGTTAGTTTGTATATCACTACAGTCCCTTTTGGCTCTAAAATTCTGAAATTCTATCAGCAGAACCTCCATGTTCAGGGGAGGTCCACCTTTGGATGCTGGTATTCATCCAACAACCAGAAGAGCCACAGATTGCATGCCCTGCTTGAGGACTCACCTGGCTGGCTGCTGTGTGGGACGTGAGTGCTCACCGGATGGACCTTGGCTCTGACCTCATGAGACAGCTCTCCTTAGGCCTTCTCTCGCCAGATGATCTGCTTCGTTTGGCATGCAAAAGAGAACGCTCTGCTGAAGAGAAAGGCCAGGAGTCCATCAAATTCACTCTGGCCAGTGATCACTGGTGAAAGAAACACACGCTCCTTGAGCCCACGGGCTTCTGGTTTATTGGTCACAATTATTTCCAGTCTCCTGTAACTCGCTTCTCTGGAACAGACTGTCCAAGAAGTCCAGGTCAGCTCCCTGTTGTCCCTCTGCCAGTTGGCAAAGATGTTTTTATTCACATGAACCCTTTGGCTCTTGAGCTGTTTTTGTTTTGGAAGGATTGTTTTTAAACCGATTTCTAATGTATCTCTTTTGTCATTGTGTCCATCAACTGTTTCAAATGACTATGAAACTATATTGAAATGTTTGAAATTCCCCTCACCTTTTGTGTCACTTTCTCGGTAGACATGCAGGGAACGAATCAAAGCAAGCATTTGATCAACCGATCGATTGATCAATCAATCAGTCATAAACAGACTAACAAACCTACCTATCTGGAAATTCTAGCAATAAAATTAGGATATGCTACTGAAGTAAAGATCTGCCATGGACGTAGCATCCCTTCCCCGCAACAGCTTGCGGCACGGTCCCAACCAGTTCGCAGCTGCAGTGCTCAGAATTCAACCCTCTGTTTCGCCACTGTCTAAATATTAGACCAGCAAATGCCCCTTTGTTTGATGAACAAGCAGCTTGGCCAGGCCTGCTCCTTTGTTTGGGGGATCATTGAACCCCAGAGGTGGAAAGGGACTTGCATCTCCCACAGAAGGTCATCCACGTCTTTCTCAGTTACTATTTTCTGCCTTCCACAGCCTGTTGCAAAACATCTGTGGCTTTTTCGATCAGATAGAAGCAGATAAGGGATATTTGTCCAATGGCATTGAATGGTCAGACAGTCAAAGCGGGAAAAGACAGTCCTCCTTCACACAGAGGAAAGGCAAACAGTGACTAATTTGATCTCGTCTGATCACTTTAATATCAGACTAATTTAATCTAATTTTTTGATGGAGTAAACTCCCAAACGAACAGAGGAAACAATGCGGGCACAATCTACCTTAACTTTAGCAAAGCTTTCAACATAGTGCCCACAACATCCTGATAAGCATATTAGCAAAAAGTGGAATAGATGGAAAAGCTGTTAGGTGGATCCAAACTGGCTGCTGAATCAGACACAGACAGCGCTCATCAGTGGCACTTTCTCAAACTGGATGGAGGTAACCAGTGGGGTGCCACGGGGTTCAGTCCTGGGCCCCGTGCTCTTCGACATCTTCATTAATGATTTAGATGAGGAAGTACAAGGAAAGATAATTGAACTGACAGAAGATGCAAAACTGAGCAAAATAGAACACCCTAGAAGACAGAATGAAGATCCAGAGTGATCTTGATAACTTGAATCCTGGAATGAAAGCAATAAAATGAGATTCAGTAGGGACAAGTGCCAAGACCTCCACCTAGAAAAAGAAACCAATGGTTTGCTATAAGATGACTGTACAGAGCTCAACAGAACTGAAAAAGAAAAAGACCATGGAGTTATTGGCTAACAGCCAATAATATGAGCCAGTGATATGGTGTAGCTGCAAAAAGGGCAAATACTATTTTGGGATGCATTAATAGAAGTATTACTTCCAAATCACAAGAAGTTGTAATTCTCCTATATTCCTCCTCAGTCAGACCTCAGTCAGTTCTGGGCACCAAGATTTTAAAAAGATGCAGAAAAACTAGAACAGGTCCAAAGGAGGGCAACAAAAATGATCCAGGGTTTGGAAAGTCTGCCCTGTGAGGAGAGACAGAGAGAACTGGGCATGTCCAGCCTTGAGAAGAGAAGACTGGGGGGGACATGAGATCCCTCTATAAGGTCCTCAAAGGCTGTCACAAAGAGGAGGGTCAAGATCGCTTCTTGCTGATGCCAGAGTGCAGGACATGGAAGAATCAATTCAAGTTGCAGCAACCCCGATTCAGGCTGGACGTCAGGAAAAGCTTCCTCACCGTCAGAGCAATATGGCAGTGGAACCAGCTGCCTGGAGAGGTGGTGGCTCTCCCACACTGGAGGCATTCAGAAAGAAGCTGGGCAGCCACCTGAGTGGGAGGGTGTAAACTGGTGTCCTGCAACAGCAGGGGGGTGGACTTGATGGCCTTCCTGGTCCCTTCCACCTCTACTATTCTATGAGTCTGTAAAAGCAGGAGCAGCCTCATTTTATGCACAAGGACAGGAGACCTTTTCTTGTGTGGCTAGTTTTCTACTTGTGGGGCACTGTATTATTATTATTATTATTATTATTATTATTATTACATTTCTATGCTGCCCCTTGCCGAAGCCTCAGGGCGGCTTACAACACGATAAGATACATTGAAATACAATAGAACATAATAAATTACCAATAAATACAGAAATACAAAAAATACACTGAGATACAATAATATAAAATTAAAATTAACAGTATAAAATAAGTAAATAAAGAATATAGGAGGAGGAAAGAGAAGGAAGAGGAAGTTGCCCTGGCCAGATCATATATTTTAACAATTAAAATGATGTTTAAATAAAAAGGTCTTTACCTGGCGCCGAAAAACCAGTAACGACGGTGCCAGGCGGACCTCTTTGGGGAGTGAATTCCATAGGTTGGGCGCCACCGCAGAGAAAGCCCTCCTCCGGGTACTTACTCTCCTAATTTCTTTCATGGAGGGTTCCCGGAGAAGGGCCTCTCCCGCAGATGTCAAGGGGCGGTCGCGCATATACAGACATAAGCGCTCGTTCAGGTAGCCCGGACCCAAGCCGTTTAGGGCTCTGATCTGAGGCAGAGGAGCACTCAGGTAGAGGGCTTGCTTCCTAGCACCTAAAATGGTGCAGCTTAGATTTTTAGAGCAAGGGCATTTTGGAGAGCATTGGGTTAATATTTAGGATCATTCCACAGTTCAGACTCTTAACTACCCACTTTCAGCAGGGACAGAGAATGTTTCATTTCTTAGCTTGGAAAGGTGGGCTGGCAATGGTTGTGTCCCCACATCCCTCCCTAGAAGCCCAGATGGTGTGGGGCTGGGCGAGCAGGCCTTCACTGTTTGCTTGTCTGAAAAAGCACTTCGTTCATGCCCAGAGGTGCCCTCATGTATAACCCATAGAACCCTGCCACTGGGAAACAGTTTCCAAAGCCAAGCTGTAACTTCTGAGTCCTAGAATAAGCATAGGCTTCTCAGGATGAGAAAAGGATAAAAAATACGAAGCAGAGAAGGAAAAGTCTGGCACTGAATGAAAACAAACATTATGGCAGAGGCATGCCAATATTTAAATGTATCGGGGAGAGGTGGCAAACAGCTTCCCAGAACAGCTTGACCCAATTTTTAGGGGTGACAACAAGCAGAAGAATCAAACAAAAGCTGTGTGTATTGGGGTGGGGTGGGGGAGGGGCAGAAAGCCACAGGTCTTTCATTGCAACCCCTCTAACGAAGACTAGCCTCAAAGAAAAAGTGTGCAGATTTAGGACCTGCTACAACCTGAAGGGGTCCCTCCTAATCCCAGAGGTTTAATTTTATTTTAAATAATTGTTTTGTTCACCTGCCATGGGGTGAAAGAGAAAGGGCATTCTGCGCATGTTTAGGGGCTGTGCAAGCAGCCTTCCCCAACCAGGCACTCTATAGAAACTGTCAGACTGCAGCTCCCAGTATCCCCAGCCACTGTGCTCTTTGAAGGGGTTTACAGCCTATCTCACCTGGTAGGCAACAAGCTAGGGAAGCCTAGCTGAACAGTGTCAGATTAGGGCTAGGGGGACTCGGGTTCCAATCCCCACTTATTTCCTCAGCCTAACCTACCTTGCAGGGTTACTGTGAGGAGAAAATTCAAGAGCGGGAGACAGGATGCCCTTTTCTTGGAGGAAAGGTGAAATTGCAGTTCAACTTTGCAAATAAATGAACAGGCAAATCTTAGGTTTTGGCAAGGTTATACTGACAGCGTTGAATCAATGAACAGTCTTCCGTTAAAAGCACCCAAGCACAGCAGCCACGGCTGCAAAGCCTGACCAGACAATCAATGAAGGCCCACAGAATCCTGTGTCAGTAACAGAACGTACAAAGCCAAAATGTGGGTTCTGCCAACCCTTTCTCGACACTGCAACAAAGCACAACCAACACGAAACAGCCACACTGGGCCCACCCTCCCTTCTGACTCTGCTCCTCCGCTTTGTACTTCAGCAGCAAGGCGGGGGGGGGGGGGTTATGGGATGCAAATCTCTGTAAAATCTACACAGGCCGAGCAGGGGCAGACTTCAAAGTAATACTAGGATTTATTTACATTCCATGGGAGGCAAAAGCAACAAAATATTTTCTTCTCTACATCACCTCAAACCAAATGCTAATTCTCTCTGGCGCGTGCTCTCTCCGTCTCTCCCTTCCAGCCTAATTGCCCTGCAGGGGAAAACGCGGGGGGGAGCAGATCCGGGGCCGCAGCTCCATGAGTAAGTGTTGGCAAAGCTTTTCCTTGCATGCTGCTGGGAGAAGCTTCACCTGCCCAGCTTCTCCCCAGTCCTGGCTTCATTTCGGAAGGGAGGGCAGGCAGCCTGTGGCCGCGATGGTCGACAAAGTGTCCTTGAGCCAAAGTGCAGTGCAGTTCAGGGCATCTCCCCACTTCATCTCCCCCCCATCCCAAGCGCGAGGGCCTGAGAAAACGGCCTGGGAAGGCTTTCTTCAAATTAAAAATGTGACACGGCTGCTCTTTCTTTGGCAGGGAGAACTCGCTTAGCAGGGGCTCCGCCAGGGAAGAGAAATTGGCGGGCTGGCGGCTGGCTGCAGAAGCGGCGAAAGCGACGCGGTGTGCCGGGGAAGGGGCGCGTGCCACTTGTTGCCCCCGCGCCTCTCCCTGCCTGGCTCAGGGCGGCGGGCTTGGCACCGGCCCCCGGCAGCCCTCACCCCGCCGGCGCCCATCCCCATCCCCGGCCACGGCCACGGCTCCCAGCCCCAGCAGACACCCTCAGCTCCCTTCGCGCCGCACCCAGCAGCTCTCCAGCGCCCGCTCGCCGGCCCCTGCGCCGTTCCCTGAATGCCCCCTCGCCACACGCAAAAGGGCCGTGCCAACGGCGCGCCGGCACCAAGCAGCTCCCGGCCGGCACCGCCACGCGTCCCCTCCCCGGTGCGAGCAAAGCTCCGCGTGTTTCTCGGGACTACGGGGCCCGGGCTCCACCCACGTGTGAACACAGTCCGTCGGGATGATCTGTGGGCGCCCCCTCCCCGTTTCCCGCGCCCGATTCGGGAGCCTTCTGGGCCTTTCCGGGCACCCACCGCCGTCGTGACACAGGACCCAGAACGCCAGCCCGCCCCCGCCAAGCGCCCCTGCGGAAAAAGGCCTCGATCCGCGCCCTCGAGGCAGCAGTGCGCCAAGTGCCTGCATTGGCCCTCTCAAGCCCTTCCCTCGCCAGCTGTCTGGATGCCCTCTGGGTGCCCCACGCCAGAGCCGCGACTTAGGCGCCCACCCTGAGCCTCCGCTCGGCCGGCAGGACTGGAGGGGTCCCCGGCCAGACCACCTGGATGCCGCCCCGAGAGGGCGTGGGGTGGGCTCCTCTCCAGATGCCCACTTCCTGGAGCCCCCGCCCGCCTTCCCTGGGCTCCAGGTTGCGCCCCGAAGGCGCCCTCCTGGCACAGGCGCCGCGCCCGCTCCCCAGAGGGGCCCGGGGAGAAGGGCAAGCGGGAAGAGGCCGGGGCCCCGACGCGGGGGGGAGCGGGGGCGTTCTGCCAAGCCGGCCCCCACGAGCGGCCGACTGGCAGCCCCACAGACGCCTAGCCTGGCGGGCGAGCGTCGCCTCGAAGGGAAGCCTCCCCGGGCACGGCAGAGGGGCCTGGGAGAGTCCTCCGAAGCGCCCCCGGGAGCCCGCCCCCCCGCCGCCCCTTATACCTGGCGCCGCAGGCTGCTCTCTGGGCGCCGTTCGAGGCTCCCCGGCTGGGCTCCGGACCGGGAGCGAGCGAGCGAGAGACGGCCGGGCGGCCCCGGGAAGGAGGAGCCCCGAGGAGGCGGGGAGAGGCGCTGCTTCATTCCCTCCCCGCGTGCCTCCTCCAGTCTGCCAGGCCGAAGAGGAGGAGCTGCCCGACCCCCGCGGGAGCCTCGCGCAGAACGCGCCTCTGCGCGCGTGCAAAGAGCCTTCCCGCTTTCCCCAGGCCGGGAGGTGAGCCCTTGCTTTAGAAAAGAGAACGGAAATGAACACTGTCCTGCCGAACGTTATTGGCTGGACGCGCGAGACCGTGAGAGTGGCACTGTGCCCCTGAGCATGTGCAGAGCGGATGCTAAACGAATGCATGTGCTACATCATAATACACAAGGGGCACCAAGGCGTTATTGCCAGTCCCCAGGGCTGGAGTACGTGGGGCTGTGAGTATGGTTGGGTGTCCTCTGAACGCAGGCAGAGTGTATTGTCAGCCCGCTTCCCATCAGGTAAATCAATGAAGAAACTCAGTGAGAAGACCCGTGAAGCCCACGGGGTGTCTCTGGGCCAGTCCCTGCTTCCCAGGCTCACCTCCCTTGCAGGGTTGTTGGGATAATAGATGAGCAAGGAGAACTGTGCAAGCACCGTGTGATCCTTGAATGAGGAAGGAACACCAGGTAGAAAATGCATTAAGAAAGAAAAGGAAGAACGTCAGCATAAACCCAAAGGTTTCATTCTGGCACATCTTATCCTCACAGCACAGAGCGGGGGTCCTGGAGAGTGCAAACACAGATCGTCTGAGCTTATGTAGATGGGCAATACCATGCTAATGGATAAGCACAAGCAGGTGTGCATGTGCGTGTGTGTGTTGGGGGGTGTTCAGTGACCCCAAGATTTACTTTCAGCATCCAAGCCTGGGCATCTGAAAATGGTGAATTAAGCTTGACGCAGTGTCCCGGAGTGCCTTTCCCTACCATGGAGGAGACATAAACAGGGTTTTTAAGAGCTCTTAGAATGCCTGGATGATGACAGTGTGCCTCTGAGCATATCCAGAGTGTTCTCCCATTTCAGTGAGAAGTCACAACTGGGTCTTTGAGCCAAGCGAAGGTTCAGTCCCTGGGTGTTTCTTCCTTGCAGTGTGTAGAAAATCCACATGCATCTCTGAGAATGTCCAAAATATTATCCCTCTGAGAAGCCAGGTCTAGCACCCCTCCCTCCCTCTCTTTCACATGCACAGACACATGCACAACAGTGCTGAGATTCATTGAATGGGCTTTACACTCTAGTTGTGTAAACCCTTTTATGAACAAGCCTTAATTCAAGGAAACCAGTGCTGTTCATTCAGGTGTAAGCACTTCCAGCAGTTTGGGGAGTAAGAAAAAGGGGTGATAACAGGAATCACAAACCTGCAAGTCTCTGCAAATTGTGGGGTGGGGGGAGCGGGAGGCTTTGGACTTCCATCCCATATGAAAAGTGCCCTATGCCCCTAAGTCACCCCATGAAAAGCAAGTCGATTTGTGCTTGACAGATGCTCCCTCCGCACACAGTCATTTTTCTGGTGTGTGACATGGTCCAGAGCGACTTGTGACAGGCATTGGGGGCAGAAAGCTCTCAGACTGAGCCAGGCTCAAGCTAAGACTAATCGAAGCTCACCTTTTGCATGTGTGTGGAGAGAGAGGGGATGTTGTAAAGTTGCACTTGATTAAAGGGCTGTGCAGGGAACAGCCTAGAGGCGAAGTCTCCAGGCCACTCCACCCACAATGTTCCCATGTGCATGGAAGTTTGCATCCTGGTTTTTTCAATGGAAAAAACTATAGACTGGCAGACAGGGTGCAGCTCCAAAGATTCAGGGGGAAGAGACTGTTAGAAAGATGTGGAGGCAGGTAGTCAAGCAGACGGCAAGAAATTCAGAGCAGAGTGGATGAGTGCAGAGAGCCAGACAGAAAAACTGGGAAAGATGCACTGAGAGAGAGGGTAAAAAGAGGGAGAGAGAATGAGGCTGGCAGACACAGGGAGCTGGGAACTGCCAGATACCTTTCCCCTGCAGAATGCCATGCCCTTGCTCCCAGGACGCCTGTTGATGCCAGAGTCAGCCATGTTCTCACTTTGCATTCAGCAAAGAGGGCTGAGCGAGTGTGTGCGGGGGGGGCGCCTGCTAGAGAGGTGGCAATTTCCACACCCTGAAAGTGCAGCAGACCATGGGATGATATCCAAGGCCTTCCTGGGATCCTCGCAGCCATTTCAGCATCCGTGCTGAATTGGGTGGATGGGGGGTGGAAGCGTGAAAGACTGTCTGCTGTGGGTTGAGTGTTCCAGCCATGCATCCGCCCCTGCACAGACTTAGCAGATCATCCTCTCTCTTTATTTGCTGCACTTGAATCCCAGCTTTCCACAACGACCTTTGGAGGTAGGGCAGATTGAGAGACGCACTTGTTGAGGTCACCTTCCCAGCTTCCTGACTTGCTCTGTAACTAACCACTATGTCACACCAAGATGGGCACTGATGGGCATAATTAATTGCTGCTGCTGCTGCTCCTGTTGTTGCTTCCATTTCTATACTACTCAATAGCCAAAGTGGCCTGGGCAATTTACAGTTCCTTCCCATTGTGTTTACGACACTCCTGCAAGGCAGTCCAGCACGGTGGCTTGCATGCTGGAGGCTGCTTGCCCCAGGCCACCAAACATGGTCACTGCAGTGTCCAGCCCTGCACAGGGGTGACTACCTCATGCATAATTGTGAGAGGTAAGTTGGAGTCCCTCTTGGTCCTGAAGCTCCCTGGGCAACTTAGGGCCCTCTGTGGACTGGACAACAGGGTGGTCGTGAGGATAAAATAGAGGAGAGGCAGATCATGGAAGCTGCCTTGGGTGGGTGGAGTGGGGAAGCCAAAGTCACGTGTTTCCTTTTCTTCTGCTTTGTTTTTGCCTGCCAACTCATTTCAAAACTGCAACTTGCAAAACTGCAGTTCAAAATCTCTCTCCCACACACACACTATCTGCCAGTTCCCCCCATTAGGTTATCATGTGTGATAACCAACACAGTTATCTCAGTCTGAGCAAAGTTTTCGTTTAACAGCTGAGACTTGGCAACGGTGCATTTCTCTTCCTGGAAAGAAGCTTGCTTGGCATGCCGTGGAGGCCTCATGGCTGCCTGCAAGGTTTGCTTGCAGCAAAGGCCAGACTTACTGTATTCTTCACCCCTGAGGAACACTGTTGCAGTAACTGATCCGGTCTAGGCAGCTGGGATGGCCATGCAGCTCAAGTCTCTTTTGTCATCCAATCTGGATTTCCTTCCAACACCAGCTTGGCACAGCTGACTCGATGGCACCCCTGTGTGGAATGTGGAGGCTGCTGCATGCAACAGGAGCAGCATGCTCTTTGCATGCAGAACCAGTTGGTTGCTGGGTGCGCAGATAGGTGTGAGAGGAGGATGGGGGTTGGTTTTGCAGCTGCCAGGGCGCCCCAAAGACCCCGATGTCTCTACAAAACACCTTCTTGGCCTGGTACCCTTTGATTGCTTTCAGCTCTCCTTTTATTGGCCCTGGCCAGCATGGTGATGGGAGTTGTAGTCCAAAACTGTGGGAGAGCACCAGGAAAGGCTGAAGGCACTTTTGCTATACCCCATCTCAGTTTCTCAAACCCGTAATCTGCTCTGTCAAGACTGGAGCACTGGGGGCACCTCCCTGCGCTGTTACCTCACATCTCTGCTGAGCTCTCCCCACAGCAAGGTCTCCAGCTGCCACTCCAGGGCAGATCTGTCCCGGGCAGGGAAATACTGGCTGTTGTGCATCCATTTGCAAACAGTCCTTCCTCTCTCAGATCTGCGGCTGGGGCAAATCTGTGCAAGGGAGCTGCAGGAGGAGTTCCATGCCTGCCCTCCATGCCCAGGCCAGTATTCCACAGGGGACTATCTAAATGGTGGCATATGGTTAGCATTTAGGCAAATGGTAAATCCCAGGACTCCTTGCAGGGGTGGCAGTGGCAGGAAGCAACGCAGGTCTGAGAGGGAGACAACCACTTTAAGCTCGTAATAGGATTGCATGTGCAAGGTGCCTTCTTGGAAGGACACATCACACCTTGCTCAGTCACACTGATATGCCATCAAGGCATCAATGCAGAGGAGCATAGTTGGGAAAAGTGCCTCCGTGGCCTCCTTCCCATCTGATTCTCAAATTTAGCTGCAGAATTTGTTGTTGGAGGGTGTGGTGCAGAGAAGAAAATTCTGCCTCCTTAAAGGTTACCTGTTTGTTATCACAGCAGCTCCATTCAAACCTGCCTTGGGGTGAGCCGCACCCCTTCCCTTGGCCACACCCACTTTCCCACAGCCGGGAATCATTGGTAGTGCTCCAATTTTATTTATTTATTTATTTATTTATTTATTTATGGATTTATATTCTGCCTTTTTCCTACAAAGGGCTCAAGGCAGCTTACATCTCCTCCTCCCTCTTATCCCCACAACAACAACCCTGTGAGGTAGGTTGGGCTGAGAGTCTGTGACTGGCCCAAAGTCACCCAGTTGGCTCCATGGCTGAGTGAGGACTAGAACCCAGATCCTCTGAGTCCCAGTTCCACGCTCTTAACCACTACGCCACAAGGATGCTTAACGATCCCCTGTAGGGTTCCATCTGAACAGTGAGCTCTTCAGTCCCACCTCACCAATTTTAACTCTTTCGTGAGAAGTAAAGCATAAGACCAAAAGAGACAAAACAGAGGCAAGGAAGGGTTGAGACAGAAATGTATTTGGATGCATGGCAGTTATTTTATGTGGGTTCTGGTGTCTGAACAGATGTAACACACACCCCTTTGGGGCAGGTCAGGTTATCTGTTTTGGGAGTCCTGGGGAAGGAGTACACATTCTTCTTTTCAAGCAGTCCCTGTGATACACACATCACTATTTACTCATTTATTTGTTGAACTTACAATAAATAGCCCTGCAAACCTCTCTGAACTTTGTCCAGCCTTTGGCCAAGGGAATGAGCCCCCCGGGATCACCCAAGAGGCTGCGTTGATAGAGCAGCGATGAGTTTCACGTTCCTCCAATTAGAGTTGAAGCAAAGT